TGGGAAGACAGTGCTTCCCTCCCACGCCTGTGCCCATGCAGGCAGTAAGGCAGAGACCACCTCTTGGGAGGCCCCAGGATGGCCATCTGGTCTGCGGCCGGGTCCACTTTCCCGGATTCTGATGGTCCCTCCTTGCCTCCCACGGCCCTGCCAAGGCCAGGCCCGGCCAAGGTGAGCTGAGGACACGCTGGGCTCCGAATGTCAGGTTTCGGAGGCGTTTGTTGAGCCAGCGTGTCTGTGGGCTGGCTCTGGCCTCAGCACAGTGTGTGCCTTGGCCCAGCTCACCCTCCAGGACACCTCCAGCCAGGTGCTATTATTAACAACCCCATTTTCCAGAGGAAGCAGCTGAGACCCAGCGAGGGGACCTGCCCAAGGTCAAACGGGGGAACATTCTGAAACTGGTTCCTGAAAACCAGGGGCTAACTGGTCTGAGTGTTTGCATGATTAACTCAGGTAATACAACAGCCCTGTGAGGAGGGACAAGCAAACTGAGGCACAGAGAAGTTAAGCGATTTGCCTGGCGTCACCCAGCCGGCAAGTGGCAGAGCCAGGATTCGAACTCAGGTAGTTTGGCCACAGAGCTTTTACACACTTTGCTCTTTAGTTTGTTGAAGAAGATGATGAGGAGGGAGGATAATGGTATTGTCTCTCAGGACACAGCCCTCCACAGTTTGCAAACCGTTTGCACACTCAGCATCTCATCTGACCTTCAGCCCAAGGGAGACACAGAGATCACCACCCCCATTTCACAGAGGAGAAAATCAAGAACGGAGGAGGGTGGTGATCGGCCCAAGGTCACTCAGAGAGTTAGTTGCAGGGTGAGAGCTTGGACCTCAGGTTTGCCACCCAGGTCTGGCCCCTTCCATGGCTCTCCCTACAGGCTGGACACTGAGTTTGGTGCCTTCCAAGGAAAGAGGCTTTGGACACCCAGTTCAGGAATAGAGTTCTGGGTTGGGAAGCAGGAGCTCTGAAGACGGGACCCTCATTTTTACCTCTGGTTTGCTGTGGGAGCCGCAGTTTCCTCACCTGTGAAATAAACAGGCTGGCCAAACACAGTGGCTCATGCCTGTAATCTCAGCACTCTGGGAGACGGAGGTGGAAGGATTGCTTGAGCCCAGAAATTTGAGACCAGTCTAGGCAACGTAGTGAGACCTCATCCCTACAAAAATAAAAACAAAAATTAGCCGGGGAGGTGGTGTGCACCTGTAGTCCCAGCTACTTGGAAGGCTGAGGCAGAAGGATCCCCTGAGCCCAGGAGGTCGAGGCTGTGGTGAGCCGTGATCGTGCCACAGCCTGGATGACAGAGTGAGATCCCCAACGAAAAAGAAAAACAGAGAGAGAGAGAGAGAGAGAGAGAGGGGCTGGATTTGTTGGACTCCAAGGACTCTTCCAGCCTGATTCCATGTCTTTGTTCTGAGAGGACACAGCATTCCCTGCTCGCCTCATTGCTTTCCCCATTAGCACAGCTGAGTGTCCCCATTTTCCAGCAAGATGTTTTTCTCCACCCGCTCCCAGCCTCTATCTTTACAGGAAGTTTATTGGAAGCTAGGAAAATGCCTGGCCAAGCCCAGAATGTTACACCGGTTTAGGAATGGGGGCCTCCATTTATTTACTTTTAAAATTATTTTTATTAATTATTATTATTATTATTATTGAGTCACCAGTCTTACTGGATCACCCAGGGGCATGCTCATGGCCACCATCACCTCGACCTGCTGGGCTCAGGCTATCCTCCCGCCTCAGCCTTCCAAGTAACTGGAACTACAGACACGTGTCACCGTGCTCGGCTACTTTTTTATTTATTGTAGAGATGAGGTCTTGCCAAGTCGCCCAGGCTGGTCTTGAACCCCTGGATTCAGGCAATCCTCTCGCCTCTGCCTCCCAAAGTGCTGGGATTACAGGCATGAACCACCGCGCCTGGCCTAGGAATCAGGGCCTCCATTTAATTGCCCTCACCACGCTGCCTCTGTGAGCACTTACTTCATCTGTCTATCTGTCTGCTTCCCAGCTGCACTGAGCCCCGTGAGGGCAGAGGTCATATTGGAAGATTAGATCTTGATAAATAGTGAGCTCTCCAGTCCTGGAAACATGCAAGGAGAGGCTGAGGCAGGATTTTGTTTTGTTTTGTTTTTGTTTTTGTTTTTTTGAGTTGGAGTCTCACTCTGTCGCCCAGACTGGAGTGCAGCGGCTGCTCCCGGCCACCACGGCCTCAACCTGCTGGGCTCCGGCGATCCTTCCTCCTCAGCCTTCCGAGTAGCTGGAACTACAGGCGTGCGCTGCCACGCCCGGCTGATTTTTTGATTTATTGTAGAGATGAGGTCTCGCTGCAGGTGGGTCTCGAACCCGTGGGCTCAGGCAATTCACTCACTTCAGCCTCCCAAAGGCACGGGATTACAGGCCGAGCCACCGAGCCCGGCGAGGCAGGATTTTTGAACAGAAAAGAGTGGAGCTCAGTGGGTGGGACTGAAGGTTCTTGGGCCCCGTGGCTCCTGGCCGTGAGATTCTACGAGGGGTTCCTGAAACTCCCGTGGCATGAGATAGGACTGAGTGGCTCTGCCTGCTGTGGGCAGCTGAAACAGAACAAGAATGTGTGAAACAGACTCAACCAGGAAGTCTTAATATGACCATTGGGCACCCACTGGCCTGAAGGTGGATAAACTCAGGGAGCCCATGGTTTTTGCCCTGGCAGAGGCCGTCTCTCTGCGTGGTCCGTGTCGCCCACCAACACTGGAAGGTCTCCATGGGTGCCATGGCCCCTCCCACATGTCCACAATGCTGGGAAGGTCTGTGAGGTGGCCTGTCCTCTGCGGGATCTCCTCATGGCTGGCTGGGTGTCACCTGCCTTCCGCCTACTCTGCTCACTGGGTTTGAACCTAACCCCAGATGCAGGCTTGCTTGACTCAGTATGGTACTCGTACCTCACTCTGTCACCCAGGCTGGAATGCAGTGGCGCATAATCATGGCTCACCCCTAGCCTTGACCTTCTAGGCTCAGGCAATCCTTCTGTCTCAGCCTCCTGAGTAGCTGAGACTTACAGGCACACGCCAGCATGCCCAGCTATTTTTTTTTTTTTTTTTTGTAGAGACGAGATCTCTCTATGTTGCCCAGGTTGGTCTCGAACTCCTGGGCTCAAGTGATCCTCCCGCCTCGGCCTCCCAAAGTGCTGGGATTACAAGTGTGAGCCACCACCCCCAATACCTCCTTCATCTTTGACCTTGAACCAACTTGAGCCTGGAGAGCCCCAGGAGCCCTGCAAGAAGTGCCAATGTCTCTCAAATGACTCAGGCCCCTTGGTATCAGACCATCCCTCTGTGTGACCCTTGGCGAGACACTTACCCTCTCTGAGCCTCAGCATGACCCCTGCCTCAGAAGAATGAGCACAAAGCTCCGAGTCTTTTGAAGCTGGTCTTGAGGTCAACACAGCACAATCCCTCTGAGGAGAAAGGTCAAAAGAAGTGGCAGGAAAAGTCCAGCTTCCTAGGGGACCTGTAGGGACCCGTCCCCGGTAGCCCTGCCTCACCATTCTGGGATGCTCTGGGCTCAACCTTCTTCTCGGGGGTTGGGGAAGCTTGTTTGGCCCACAGTTGGGCATTGGGTGCAGGGAGGTAGAGAGGGCTAGAGCTGTGTTGCCCAGGCTGGAGGGCGATGGTGCAATTATGGCTCACAGCAGCCTCGACATTCTGGGCTCAGGTGATCCTTCCACCGCAGTCTATTGAGTAGCTGGGACTATGGGTGCACGCCACTGCACGTGGCTAATTTTTTTTTCTTTTTGTAGAGATGAGGTCTCTCTATGTTGTCTAGGCTGATCTTGAACTCCTGGTTCAAGCAATCCTTTCGCCTCACTCAGCCTCCCAAAGTGCTAGGATTACAGGCATGAGCCACCACACCCACCTCCTCCCTTTTATAATTGACACAAGCTCAGCTACTTGTCACTTGTACCCCCCAAAAAACCAAACACAAGATGTAGTGAAAGGAAGGTGATTTTATTCCAAAAGCAGGTGGATGGGGAAATGGCCAGGCTCATGCCTCAAAGAAATCGTGTCAGCTTTTTTAGGCTGAGTGCAAGGGTTTAAAGAGGGAAATTTGGTATGGGAAACATGCAGACATGACACGGGTGTGTCTTGATGGTTTATTTTGAGCGGTGGTCCTCCTGGGGGGTCTGGCTGATATTAGCTCAGCTGCGGTCAGGTTATGGATCAAACGTCTCACGACTCCCCCCAAGCAGGAGGGTCCTGCCGTCATGCTGTTTTATGATGAGCCCCTGGGATTTCTAAGCGAAAATATGGTCAGAGAAGCATGCAAAGTGCAAGAGAGCATCTGGAAGACAAAGGGAGAAAAGGAGTTTCTAAAACATCTTTCAAGGCTTAAAGGGGGGGAGAAGCTTTAAATACATGTTAAGGTTGAATACTGGGTTACACTCTGAGCCTCAGTTTCCCCTTCTGTCACACGGAGAAGGAAGACTTCTCCTGCTTCATTCATTGGGATACTGCGAGGTTCAAAGTTCTGGTCCTTTCCATCCATCCGTGAGGACTGCCCAGATGTGGTCCTTGCCCAAGGGGCTTGCCATCATGTGGGGTACCTGTGCCCTGCCACCATCAGCTGCAGTCAAGGACAGGTGGTTCATGTCGCAGCAACTGGACAATGTCCAAGAGTCTGGCGTCACCAAGCTCCGTCCTGAAAGTTGATGGCTGGTCTTGTGCGGGTCCGGGGTGTCGACATCCCCACTTCTGGGCATGCTTCTAAGACCCTCATACATATTGTAGTCAGGGGGTCCCAAAGCCCAGAGGACAGAGAGCCAAGCCCCCTACTTTTCAGCTGTGTCGGTTTCTTTGTTGAGAACTAGCCTCGGGGTGGGAGAGTCAGAAGGGATGCCACACGGGGACTCGAGTGAGCTGGTGGCAGAGATCTCAGAGGGCCACATAAGGAAGGCCACTCCATCCACAGTCCGGAAGCGCCACGACGAGGTGGGTCAGCAGACGTGGCAGTCCTGTCCGGCCGCGGCAGGAGGGCCACTGTCACTTCCAGCATCTTTAGCCGGCGGTGCCCAGTGGGGGCTCTGGAGTGGCCAGCCGACTCAGGGTCACACTGGGGATGCTGGCGACAAAGCTCTTCCACCTCCTCCTTACCTGCTGGAAGACAGAGGTGGGGGAGGTGAGGGTCCAGGTCCCACCTGAGTGGTGGGCTTCAGGTGTTGTTCCACCCACAGCCACGAGGTGGGGGTAGACCCCAGGGAGAGAAGCACTGAGCATAAGCGACCCTTTCTCTCGGAGGAAGGGGGCAGGGGCTGGGAGCCCGCAGCCCCGGCCCAGGCGGGGGGCCGGATCTTCCCTTCTCCCCGGTGTAAGGAGTGCACAAGATGTCACTCTCAAGATGTCGTACTGGCGATTTCCTTGCCTCCAGCTCCATTCGCCCGCCTGACATACTGCAGATTAATCAGTGTGTGTGTGTGTGTGTGTGTGTGTGTGTGGGGTGTGTGTGTGTGTGTGTTCAAAGTCTCACTCTGTCTCCCAGGCTGGAGTGCAGTGCATGCTCCTGGCCACTGCAGCCTCAACCTGCTGGGCTTAGGTGATCCTTCTGCCTCAGCCTTCCAAGTAACTGGAACTACAGTTGCACGCCACCACACCCAGTTAGTTTTTGTGATTTATTGTAGAGATGAGGTCTCATCAAATTGCCCAGGCTGGTCTCAAACCTCTGGGCTCAGGCAATCCTCTTGCCTTGGCCTCCCAAAGTGCTGGGATTATAGGCTGAGTGACCGCACCCGACCTTTTTTTTTCGAGTCAGAGTCTTACTCTGTCACCCAAGCTGGAATGCAGTGGCCACCGCAGCCTTGACCTGCTGGACTCAGGTGATCTTTCCACCTCAGCCTTCGAAGTAGTAGCTGGAACTACAGGCATGCACCACCAGACCCGGCTAATTATTTTGATTTATTATAGAGACGAGGTCTCACCGAGTTGTCCAGGCTGGTATCGAACCCCTGGACTCAGGCAATTCTCTTGCCTTAGGCATCCAAAGTGCTGGGATGACAGGCTTGAGCCACCACGCCCGGCCTAATTTTTTAATTTATTGTAGAGATGAGGTCTTGCCAAGTTGCCCAGGCGGGTCTCGAACCCCTGGGCTCGGGCAATCCTCTAGCTCCCACCTCCCAAAGTGCTGGGATGACAGGCGTGTGCCACCGTGTCCAGCTCAGGTTAATCATCTTAAAATGGCTCTAACCATATCACTCTCCTGCTCTAAAACCTTTAGTGACTCCCGAGTGCCTGTGGAATAAATCCCAAACGGTTTCAAGATACTCTGAAATATGGCTCTTTGATATTTCTCTCTCCAACCTCATCTCCAGAGAGTTCTGCTGTCATCTTGGTCAAGCATGGCCCCATATGGTGCTACTTTGAAATATTTGCTAGCCTGGTTTCATCTCCCTGGAGTCCTGGTCCCGTTCTGTGGCATCTCTCTAACCTCAGCCCTCAGCCATACCTGTTGGTACTGTCTCAGCCACCGCAGGCTACCTTCTCGCTGGGCTTGGATCAGCTGCTCTTTGTCCCCAAGGCTCTCAGGAATCCTCTCCTGAGCAGGGGCATCCAGCCCTTCTGTGCCTCTGTCGAGGCCCTGGGACCTGGACTTCTCACGCCCTTGTCTGAGGCTCAGTGCCCGGCGGAGTCGGCCCTCCAGAGGCCTCCCCCACGGCTCCTGAAGCTTTCCATAGGAGGGTCGGGGCTCTCGCAAGGACTGGCTTCGAAGTCCTGTTCCCATGGTCCTGGAGACAGCAGGCTCAGGACTGCTCTGGCCACTTGGCAAGCCACAGGCCCTCTGAGATGGCCTGGCGCCTCCACCCTTCTGAGAAGAGATCACCTGGGTGCAAAGGTTGGTGCAACTAAGACTGTTGTCATAAATCAAAGGGCAGGCCACAGGGCCAAGCATCCCTGAGTCACCTCACCATTGCCTTCCCACCTTTTGGGGCAAGGAGTCTAGGCCAAGAGACTGAATCATATTGCCTTTTCCTCCTCCTCCAGGCAGCCTTCCCTGACGACCACTCCATTCCTGAAGAATTTGACCACCTCTGAACTCCTGTGGCTCCATTGACACTGTACACAAAAACATGGCAGCAAAATAGAGATAGGTTTTAAGAATCAGTATAGCTGGCTGGACGTGGTGGCTCAAACCTGTAATTCCAGCACTTTGGGAGGCCAAGGTGGGAGGATTGCCTGAGCCCATGGGTTCGAGAAGAGCCTGGGCAACTTGGTAAGACCTCATCGCTACAATAAAAAAAAAAAATTAGCCAGATGTGGTAGTGTGTGCCTGTAGTTCCAGCTACTTGGAAGGCTGAGGCGGAAGGATCGCCGGAACCCAGCAGGTCGAGGCTGCAGTGGCTATGAGCGTGCCACTGCACTCTAGCCTGGGTGATGGAGTGAGACTCCAACTCAAAAAAAAAAACTGGGCACTGACTCACGCCTGTAATCCCAACTCGTTGGGAGGCTGAGGCAGGAGGATTGCTTGAGATTGGGAATTCAAGACCAGCCTGGGTAACAGAGCAAGACCATGTCTTTACAAAAAAAAAAAAAAGAGGAAAAAAAATTAGCTGGCCATGTGTCTGTAGACCTATCTACTTGGGAGGCTGAGGTGGGAGGATCACTTGAGCCCAGGAGTTGGAGGCTACAGTGAGCCATGATCGTGCCACTGCACTTCAGCATGGGCAATATAGCAAGACCCCATCCCTAAAAATAAAATAAAATAAAAAGAATGAGTATAGTTTCAATCCAGAACAGTCAAATTTGTACAGACAGAGAGTAGGTTGGTGATTGCCAGGGGCCGGAGGAGGGAGGAAAGAAGAGTCTTGTTTAATGGCTGCAGATTTTCAGCTTTTATAAGATAAAAATAATTCTGGAGATCGGTTGCTCAACAGTGTGAATGTATGCAACACTACTGAACTGTACACTTAAAAAAATGGCCGAGGCGGTACATTCTATGTTAGGGTTATTTTACTACATTTGAGAATTTTTTTTAAAAAGAAAGAAACAAACCGGGTGTGGTGGCTGACGCCTGTAATCCCAGCCCTTTGGGAGGCAGAAGCGAAAGGACTGCCTGAGTCCAGGGGGTCGAGACCAGCCTGGGCAACTTGGTGAGTCCTTATCTCTACAAAAAATAAAAAAGTAGTCAGGCATGGTGACATGTGCCAGTAGTCTCAGCTACCTGGGAGGCTGAGGCAGGAGGATTGCTTGAGCCCAGGAGGTGGAGGCTGCAGTGAGTCATGACTGTGCCACTGCACTCCAACCTGGGCAACAGAGGGAGACTGACTCAAAAAAACAATAAAATGAGGCTGGGTACAGTGACTCAGCCTGTAATCCCAGCACTTTGGGAGGCTGAGGTGAGTGGATTGCCTGAGCCCTCGTGTTCAAGAACAGCCCAGGCAACTTGGCGAGATCTTGTCTCTACAATAAATAAAAAATTAGCGGGATGTGGTAGTGCACGCCTGTGGCTCCAACTACATGGAAGGCTGAGGCAGAAGGATCACCTGAGCCCAGCAGGTCGAAGCTGCGGTGGCCTTGAACGTTCTGCTGCACCCCACCCTGAGTGACAGAATGAGACTCCAAGTAAAAAAATAAAAATGAAATGAAATTATGGGCCGGGCGCAGTGGCTCATGTCTATAATCCCAGCACTTTGGGAGGCCTAGACAAGAGGATTGCCTGAGCCCGGGGGTTCAAGACCAGCCTGGGCAACTTGGTGCGACCTCGTCTCTACAATAAATCAAACAAAAATTATCTGGGCGTGGTGGTGCATGCCTGTGGTTCCAGCTACTTGGAAGGCTGAGGCGGAAGGATCCCCTGAGCCCAGCAGGTCGAGGCTGTGGTGGCTTTGAATATTCTGCTGCACTCCACCCTGAGTGACAGAGTGAGACTCCGAGTCAAAAAAATAAAAATAAAATGAAATTATGAGTGTGGATGCCTTTCAGGGAGAGGCTGCTGCAACAACTTTTTCCCCCCAAGACAGGGGAAAGAGAAAAAAGTCTGGGCCTGGGCCAGTAGATTCCAGAGAATCGTAGAATTTGAGGGCTGAGGGGACTTCATACATCTCTTCCGTGCTCCTTTTTGTTTTAACCACTGTTTTTCAAGCATTTTTACTGGTTCTAATGTTAATTCCTCTGTGGATTTCATTTAAACCTCATGATAGTCCTAGGAGGTAGGGATTGTCAACCCATTTTATAGATCAGAAGACTGAGGTTCAGGGAGATTAAGCATCTAGCCAGAGGACATGCCCAGCCAGTGGTGGAGCCGGGACCCCCACCCTGGTGAGCCTGGCTTTAAAGCCCATGCTTCAGTCGCTCTGCTTTCCTGCCCCAGACTCGGCAGCAGAGGCAGGACCAGAGGCCACGTGTTCTACCTTCGCCGGGTTTGAACTGCTTCATAGGACACTCTTGTCAGGGAAGTGCTGGCTACAACCCTTGGCTCACCTTAGCCTTGGTTCCTGAGGCCCTGGCCTTGCCCTCTTTTCTTGTGCTTAGAGTTTCTGAATCTTCCTTGAGAGAAAGGTAGTTTAATACCTGCCAGGCCCCCATTTATAGGAGCTGAGCCAGAGCCAGTGTGAAGAGAAAGAGAAAAAGGACCCCTGACCCTCTGCCCCAGTCCGTTCCAAACGCTCACTCTGATCTACACCCAGGCCTCTTTATTTCAACCCTGACCACACTCCTAATGTTTAACTCACGGGTCAACCCTGACCCTGGTTAAAAAGCAACAAGGTCATTACACAATCTTCAGTGCCCTCACCTCCGCACACGTAGTCAACTCAAATCTTCACTCTCACAAAAGTCTGAGCCCAGGAAGAGCTTGCTGACTCATAGACTTTTGAGATGTGTTGGAATGAGTCACTCACTCTTGCGTCAAGCACATAGCTGCCAAGTACCCAGTTACCAAGCGTGCAGTCTTAAAGCAATTCCCCAAATCCACTGAGGACAAGGAGAAAACATGTGCCCTTGTCCTTCCTTCCCTACTGCTTACCTGCCTTCATCACCTGGTGTCTTGGTCTGTTCTGTGCTGCTGTAACAGAATGCTTGGCACTGGGTAGTTTATAAACAGTAGAAGTGTATTTATTTGGCTCACAGTTCTAGAGGCTGGGAAGTCCAAAAGCATGGTGCCAGTGTACACCCATGGTGGAACGGGGAAGAGGAAGAGAGGGTGAGAGTGAGCTAGGGCAAGGGGGGGGGTCAAATTTGCTTTTTTTTGAGTTGGAGTCTCACTCTGTCACCCAGGCTGGAGTGCAGTGGCATGCTCACGGCCACTGCAGCCTCAATCTACTGGGCTCAGGCGATCCTTCCACTTCAGCCTTCCAAGTAGCCGGAACTACAGGCATGCGCCACCATGCCTGGCTAATTTTTTGATTTATTGTAGAGATGAGTGAAGGGCCACCGCCAGCCACAAGTAGAGCCACATTCCCTCCCTTTCCTGGAAAGAGGCCTAAACCTGGCCCCCGCCTAAAATGGCCCTCCCGCCTAAGAAGGCGCCTGGACAAACTAACATGGAGGCTCGGACAAGGCTTTCCGGGTTCTTCCACAACAAAGCCTGCCATTCCCACGCCCGCAAAAGCCCCCGCCAATCCCCAAAATGCCTCACCTGCCGACCAATAGGTAGCCGACAGGTCGCTTTAAATTTCTATAAAACCTGCCACCCCCCTGCCTCCACGCTGCAGCCTGTTCCTCAGGTTCTGTAGCCGCCGCCCTCATCCCATTAAATCTCTTGGCCTTAACGGGTGTTGAGTCTCACTGCGTGCCACCGTCTTTCAATGAGGTCTTGCTAAGTTGCCCAGGCTGGTCTCAAACCCATGGGATCAGGCAATTCTTTCACCTTGGCCTCCCAAAGAGCTGGGATTATAGGCGTGAGCCATAGCACCCGGCTACATTTTTAGGTTTTTTTGTAGAGACAAGATCTCACTCTGTAGCTCTGGCTGGTCTTGAGCTCCTGAATTCAAGCAATCCTCCTACATTGGCCTCCCAAAGTACTGGGATTATAGGAGTGAGCTACCGCACCTCGCATATGCATCTATCTTTCTGTCTATTGATCTATCAATCTATTGATCTATCGACTTAGCCCAGGCATTCAGCCCTCCAAGGCCCCTGGCATGGTATAAGAGGCCCCTTCTTGGGTTCTTATACATGCTGGGTATTCACTTAGCACAGTACCACACTGTTTTGAAATTGAATGCTTTATTTATTTATTTATTTTGAGTCGGAATCTCTGTCTCCCAGGCTGGAGTAAGTGGCATGGTCCTGGCCACCGCAGCCTTGACCTGCTGAGCTCAGGCAATCCTTCTGCCTCAGCTCCCAGGTAGCTGGGACTACAGGTGCACGCCACCATGTCAGCTAAGTTTTCTTGATTTATTGTAGAGATGGGGGTCTCGCCAAATTTCCCCAGGCTGGTCTCGAACCCCTGGACTCAGGCAATCCTCTTGTCTCCACCTCCCAAAGTGCTGGGATGACAGGCATGAGCCACCATACCCAGCTGAAATTGAATGCTTCAAACTCTGTCCTTCTGATGCCAAGCAGGGTGTGACACAAAACTCGTGGATTGTTTGACTCAACCCTAAAACGAATTTTAGAGTGGCCAGCAAAGTTTTTTTTTTTCCCCCGCTCTCAGCCACCGCAGCCTCGACCTGCGGGGCTCCAGCAATCCTTCCACCTCAGTCTTCCGAGTAGACGGAATTACAGGCATGCGCTACCATGCCCAGCTGATTTTTTGATTTATTGTAGAGATGAGGTCTTGTTGCCCAGGCGGGTCTCGAACCCGCAGGCTCAGGCAATCCACTCACCTCAGCCTC